TTGGTTCTTTACATTTCCAGGAATTCAGGTTTAGCACCTTGCACCATTTTTTAGTCCTAAAAAAGATTCTGGATCATGCCAGAAAGCCAGGTTAAGTGCATGACCAGAAATCTGTAGCAGAAGCAAGTCTTTTGCACTTTTCCACTGGAGGGGTTGTTATAGAGAGTGATCTGCTAGATGAAATTCAACCCGGTTTGGTTCATTTCTTTCCAGCTTCTGCACCTTTAACAAGATTGTACTGAGTGCACATCACAAAGGAGCAGGCATTTTAATTGCCCTATACAAGCCAAGCAAAACAAGAAATACCTTGGCCGTGTCAGAGACGTTGGAATCAGAGTGACTCCATTTTGAGTGAGGGCGTAGGAAATGAGGCTGAGACTTGCTGGGCTGCATTCCAGAAAGTTGAGGCATTCCAGCCTCTTGATGTTTATGGTTAAGGGAACAAATTAATAACGTTTGCCGCGGCGCGGTGCTCACACCTGTAACCCCAGCACTTTGGGAAGCTGAGGCGGGCGGATCACCTTGAGGTGGGAGTTTGAGACCAGTCTGGACAACACTGCAAAACCCGTCTCTACTAAAAATACAAAAATTAGCCAGATGTGGTGGCGCATGCCTGTAATCCTAGCCACTGGGGAGGCTAAGGCCACGAGAATCGCTTGAACCCGGGAGGTGGAGGTTCTCAGTGAGCCCGATCACACCATTGCACTCCACCTGGGTGACAGTGTGAGGCTCTGCTCAAACAAAAAAAAAAAAAAAAGTTTACTAAACAGACCCAGACTTGGGAGGGTCCAGATATCCCAATATCTGGAGAACAAAGGCATTCCTAATTTTGCTTTAAAGATAATAATACTGATGTTTGCAAAATACAGTAATTAAGAAAATTAATCCTTTTATCATAAACCCTTGAAGTAGAGCGCATCTCCTCATATATAGGACTATTGTATCTAGGATGGACATGTTCCCCGTACTTTCGGGAACATCCTACTCTGTCTACGGAGCAGCTGTTCTTTCACCACTTTACTTTCTTAATAAACTTGCTTTTGCTTTGCACTGCGGACTCGCTCTAAATTCTTTCTTGCGCGAGATCCAACAACTCTCTCGGGGTCTGGATCAGGACCCCTTTCCTGTAGTAGCCCTATCGCTCTTCTCCACGGCACGTTCACCTCACATTCCTAGAGCTTTAGGATTTACCCTGAGGGTTCATGTGCTTTGATTCTAAGGCAAAAGTGCATTTCCAAGTCTACCATCATTGAGGACCTAGTACGAGCTTTTTCCTCTTTATTTATTTTTATTTTTAATTTTTTTGAGACGAAGTTTCTCTCTTGTTGCCTAGGCTGGAGTGCAATGGTGCGGTCTCGGCTCACTGCAACCTCCGCCTCACGGGTTCAAGCGATTCTCCTGTCTCAGCCTCCTGAGTAGCTGGGATTACAGGCGCCCGCCACTAGGCCCGGCTAATTTTTTGTATTTTTAGTAGAGACGGGGTTTCACCATGTTGGCCAGGCTGGTCTCGAATTCCTTACCGGTCTCGAACTCCTGACCAGTCTCAAACTCCTGATCCGCCCGCCTTGGTGTCCCAACGCGCTGGGATTACAGGCGTGAGCCACCGCGCCCGGTCGCTTTTTCCTCTTTAAAGAAAAAAAAGAGATTATTTGAAATGTCCGTCGTGGCAATGGAGAGGGATAGCCCTAGAGGACATGCGGGCTTATTATTATTATTAGAGAAGAATCTTAGCCCCTGTCCGCCTGCTACACTGAAGATTCCGCGACTCCCAGACCTCCAAGTAGGACTACAAAACAGAGGATTCTGGGGGAAGGAAGTGACGATCGGCGCAAAGCATGCTGGTCTCAGGCGGGCTCCTCTCAACGGTTCTTCCTCAAAGCGTGGTTGCTGAGTACCCAGTGTTGCAAGGAGTTTTTTAACCGGTATTTTTCTCGTTTGTCAGGTACTTAAACGTTAAGTACCACTTGGTTTTGAGTACAGCCTTAGGTGTCGTGTGACTGCAGGACAGGACCAGAAATCTAAGCTCTAGAGCTCTGGCCGCTGCCCCCTCGTTTGTGCATCCTTCAAACAAATTTTAAGGACAGTTGTCATAAATCGGGGTGCCTCTCGATGGCGGGATCCAGCGGAGACACAGAGCCAGAGAGCGCGTGGGTGGATATCAGGAGAGTTCTCTGCTTCAGTTGAGGAGTGGGACGAAGTCCTTTGGTCGATGGAAGGAAAAGCAGAGTTGAAGGGTTTGAGCATCATCTGCAGGCCAGAGTTAAAGCGATTTGGAATGTGGTTGTACACCGGAATAGATATGTGCTGGGTGAATTTCCTCAGACTGCACCCGCGGCAAATTGGTGTCCCCTCTGCTTTAGTCCGAATTGTACATATTAACTATTTTCCTGAGAAACAGAAATTCTCAAGCAGCCTTTACACGTGTTCTTTTCCCCAACTATAGTATGAGTTCCTATCAGTACATGCATTAATAATTAATTGTGTTAAGTAACTTATTACGAACTTGAGGCAAATCACAGATGTTCTCTGTCTTTAGGATAGGATGGAGATTAGGGATAAGACATTTGCTTAGGTGGAACATATATTAACCAGCACTGGTGGTTGTTTCAGACCTAGACAGGTGGCAATCATGAGTGAATGGATGAAGAAAGGCCCCTTAGAATGGCAAGATTACATTTACAAAGAGGTCCGAGTGACAGCCAGTGAGAAGAATGAGTATAAAGGATGGGTTTTAACTACAGACCCAGTCTCTGCCAAGTGAGTATGCATCCTACTTGCCTGAAATCTTGACACCCCTTTGTGCTACCTGTATGTTATAGACAAACAAAGCAGATAAATGAAAGGCTAATTATTAATACTTTCATCTAAGAATTTTTTGTTTGTTTGAGACAGGGTCTCACTGTCACCCAGGCTGGAATGCAGTGGCGAGATCTCAGCTTTCTGTAACCTCTGTCTCGCAGGTTCAAGCGATCGATTCTCCTGCCTCAGCCTCCCGAGTAGCTGGGACTACAGGCATTCCCCACCACGTCTAATTTTTGTATTTTTTGTAGAGACGGGGTTTTGCCGTGTTGCCCAGGTTGGTCTCAAACTCCTGAGCTCCAAGGATCTGCCCGCCTTAGCCTCCTAGAGTGCTGGCATTACAGACTGAGTCACTGTACCCAGCCTACATATGAGAACTTAACTGCCTTTGAATCTAAATGCTGTTCCGACTATAGATTACATTTTCAGACCAGGCAACTTCATAGAAATGGGGCATAGAAATTATTCTTGCCTTATATATACACAACACACACCCAAGATATATACACACACACACATATACACATATATGTGTATATGTGTGTGTGTTGTGTTGTATATATAGATATAATATATTTTTTTTTTGCAGGGAGGGATGGAAGTCTCATTCTGTTGCTCAGGCTGGAGTGGTGCAGTGGTGTGATCTTGGCTCACTGCAACTTCCCACCTCCAGGTTCAAGCGATTCTTTGCCTCGCTCCCCAGTAGCTGGGGTTACACGCATGCGCCAACAATGCCCACATAATTTTTTGTATTTTTAGTAGAAATGGGAGTTTCGCTAGTGTTGGCCGGCTTGGTCTTTGAACTTCCTTGACCTCAGGTTGATCTGCCCCCCCTTGGGCCTCCCAAAGTGCCTAGGTTTAGGCTTGAGCCCACTGGTCCCCAGGCCTATAATTTTGTTGTATATATACTTCACTTATCTCTTAAAAGATAAGGGCACTTTATATAAATGTAACCACAAACTTTTTTTTTTTTTTGGGATGGAAAGTCTCGCTGTGTGTGCCCAGGCTGGATGCAGTGGGCATGATCTTTCGGCTCACTGGCAACCTCCCCTCCCCGGTTCAAGTGATTCTCCCGCCCTCAGCCTCTAAGTGGCGGGATGTACAGGACATATTTTTTAGTACAGATGGGGTTCACCATTGGTAGCCATGGGTGGGCTCTCCATCTCCTGACCTGTTGTGATCCTTGTAGATTCTGTGATCCGCGCCGCGCTGACCTCCACCAAAGTGTTGGAATTATAGGCGTGAGCCCACCTCACCCTGGCCCTTTTTTTTTTTTTTTTTTGGAGACAGGCCTTTGTTTCTGTCACCCAGGCTGGGTTCAATTGGCTCCATCTCGGCTCACTTGCAGATCTCTGTTTCCCCGATTCAAGGTGATTTTCCTGCCTCAGCCTCCCGGTAGCTGGTGCTTACAGACATGTGCCACCACAAACTTAATTTTTGTATTTTTAATAGAGATGCGCGTGTCTTCACCATGTTGGCCACAGCTAGGTTTGCAACTCCCTGACCTCAAGTGATTTGCCGTCTGTGTCCTCCCAAAGTGGCTGGCGGTAATTAGGTGTGAGCCACTGTGGGGGCCAGCCTTAGTTATTGTTTTTATGATAACTTAAAGTTAAGTCTACCCTGCCTTCTTTTTTTTTTTTTTCCCGAGATGGAGTCGTGCTCTGCTTGCAAGGGCTGGAAAGTGCAGGTGTCGTGACTCGGGCCTCACTATAACTCGCCTCCCAGGTTTCAAGCATTTCTTGCCTCCGGCCCCTCCAGTAGCTGGGATTGACAGGGTGGCCTGCCATCGCGCACGGATAATATTAGTATTTTTAGGTAGGATTGGGTTTTCACCTTCTTGAGGCCAGAGACTGGTTCTTGACTCACCTGACCTCCAATGATCTACCTTGCTTCGGACCTCCAAGTGCTGGAATTAACAGTGTGCTGAGCCACGCCTGGCATATCCTGCCTTCCTTTCTTTTTTTTTTTTTTTTTTTTTTTTGCCAGCGGAGTATTGCGTCTGTCGGGGCCCAGCTGACTGCAGTGGGCGATCCTGGCTCACTGCAGATCGCCTCCTGGGTTCACGCAATATTCCTGCCTCAGGCCCTTCGGTAGCTGGGACTACGGCGGCGCCGGCCACCAAGCGCCCAGCTCATTTTTTTATTTTTTAGTAAGAACGGGGCTTTCCACAGCGTTGGGTCTCGATTCCTGACCTTGTTGATCGGCCCGGGCCTGGCTCCCGAAGTTGCCTGGGCTTTACAGGCGTGGAGGCCACGCGCCCGGACCTCAACTGCCTTCTTTTCTAATACACATTTAAGGCATTCATAACTCTTGTTTAGTCCTTTAATTGTATCCCACAATGATTGGCTGTAGGCTGGGCAAAAAGTTTACATATTTAGAATCCTTAGTGAATGTTTGTTGAATAAATGGAAGCATTCGTTGGTGACAGGATTAATTTCAAACAGAGTAGAGTGTCATCTATTATTTTAGTGACCTACTTGGGTTGATGATGCCTCTGAACTTACTTTTCCTCCAAAGTATCGTCCTTGTGAACTTCCTTGAAGATGGCAGCATGTCTGTGACCGGAATTATGGGACATGCAGTGCAGACTGTTGAAACTGTGAATGAAGGGGACCATAGAGTGAGGGAGAAGCTGATGCATTTGTTCACGTCTGGAGACTGCAAAGCGTACAGCCCAGAGGATCTGGAAGAGAGAAAGAACAGCCTAAAGAAATGGCTTGAGAAGAACCACATCCCCATCACTGAACAGGGAGATTCTCCAAGGACTCTCTGTGTGGCTGGGGTCCTGACTATAGACCCACCATATGGTCCAGAAAATTGCAGCAGCTCTAATGAGATTATTCTGTCTCGTGTTCAGGATCTTATTGAAGGACATCTTACAGCTTCCTAATGAGAGGCCAGGAAGTGTGAACACACTGATAGAAAAAGACTATTTTTTATCCCTCATAAAATATTTTGAATGTTAAGTTCATCATCCGATTGTAGGACTTTAAAGGTACATGACTCTGTGTGTGTGTGTGTGTGTGTGTGTGTGTGTGTAATTCTTTGTTTTGGTAAAATCAAAGGAGCGGGTTATAAGTGCTAATTTCCTTGGGAAATTAATGAACTAGGGCAAGGATAGCATCCCATGCAATATGTGACGACACGCCTGGCTATCCTGCTTCCTTTCATTTTTTTTTTTTTTTTCTTTTGAGACAGAGTTTGCTCTGATCGCCACAGCCTGGAAGTGCAGTGCCGCGATCCCCTGGCCTCCACTGCAAGACCGCCCTTCCGGGTTCCAACCTGCCATTACTCTGCCTCAGCTCCCGAGTACTGCGACTACAGGCCGCCCGCCACCCGCCCGCGCGCGCCCACGCTCGATTTTTTGTATTTAGTAGACGACGCCGGCTTTCACTGGTGGTTCGATCTCCTGGACCCCTTCTGATCCGCTCCCCCTCGGCCTCCCAAAGTGCTGGGATACAGGCGTTGAGCAACCGCGCCCGGCTTGAACTCCTGGCCTCAAGTGATCCACCCGCCTTGGCCTCCCAAAGTGCTAGGATTACAGGCCTGAGCCACCCCGCCCAGCTGACTTTCAAAGCCTTTAAAGTGACCATTACCTGATAATAGTTCTGAGAAAAAAGGTTAAAGTGACAAGATATTTTGCTGCTGAACTCAATCCAGTTATTTTGCCTACTAGATTCAACTCAGTCTTCAGACTTACAATGCTTTCTGCCTATAGTCTCCATTCTCTGGTTCAAGCTTTACTGAGGAAAGAGAATGCAGGAAGCATACTTTACCTACACTTAACCCTACCCCCTTGCCTTAACAAAGGCCAGTAGAGGCCAGGACTCTGTACGGAGGTTCTGGATTAGAAAGGTACCTGTTACGGGCCAGGTGCGGGTGGCTCACGCCTGTAATCCCAGCACTTTGGAGGCTGAGGCAGGTGGATCACCTGAAGTCGGAGTTTGAGACCAGCCTGACCAGCATGGAGAAACTCTGTCTCTACTAAAAATACAAAATTAGCCGGGTGTGGTGACATGGCCTGTAATCCCAGCTATTCGGGAGGCTGAGGTAGGAGAATTGCTTGAACCCAGGAGGCAGAGGTTGTGGTAAGTCTGAGATCACTCATTGCACTCCAGCCGTGG